TGAATTACGAGATGTAAGCCACTTTAATTTTATATGAGTGACCATTTGATGGACCAAAAATATGCGGAATGGGCATGAAAATTCGTTTTTACAGACCTGTCAGTTCGACCTATGAGAATAGTTGTTCAGAATTTCTTATTAATGTCTTTATGACATTATGTGTGACTATTGACAGTGCACAACACTAATCTACTTATTCAGTATGTACTTTCTTTAGAGAGGACTCACTGTAGGATATGCTGATGGAAACATTTGATCATGTTGTAAGTAATCGATGAGTTAATTTAAAGAGAATTTGTGACTGATTTGTAAATAAACTAATTATGTGCATATCCAACGAGTGAGCCACTGTTTTATACAACGCCACAAAATTCTTAACACCACTTCACTAATGAAAATTGACAATGAACACTATATAATTAAAGTTTTAAATATTTGTCCTTTTGTTCAATTTGATGGCAAGAATGAAGATAACAAATATGCAGTTCATCTAAAGTATGAACTACATATGTTTTCTGATTTAGCTAGGAAGAAAGTTTAATGAAATTGAAAAAAACTAAACAGTAATGATTTTATCTATTTTTCCGCCTGTAATTGCTACTTTTACGAAGTAGTTTGTCTTGGCGATCGAGCTATATTGGCTGAAACAACTGTTCTTTCAATTCCTATCACTTCACACAGGTCAGTTGAGAAGCAGCAACTTGAGGTGAAAGGACGGAAGTTATGCTTTTGTCTGTACTGAAGTGTAATAGTAGTAAGGTGTCTCCATTAAACAACCAGCATCTGCTGCGATGTCGCTCTCATACAATGAAAGGAAGAGGTTAGAAAACGTTGGTCCTCAAAATGCAACACCTCACTTTACCCTATGGATGTTGGTCTGCGGTGATAGGGTATTTTGAAGCACGGAGTTAACATATTAAAAACTTCCCACATAAATGCTGTTTGATCAATCACTAGTCGTTTTCTGGCCTCCGTGGGAGCTGCCAGATCGGTACGACCATTGCTTGACTAGTTTCCTTCTCAGGTCCTTCCACAATATGAGCAGTCGGGGAACGAGAACCGCCATGATACTTCTGGCAACGCCCGAGATCACTTAGATCGGGATCAAGTCCCTTCGCCATCTTTTAATATTTCTCCCGTACCCATGACTAACTCTTCCCTTACTTCATCACCACGTGCCAAAAATCTTAACGACTCGAGTTCAAATTTTATTTATCATCTTTGAAACCGCACCCTAAACTGCTGTTAATGTTCAAACTTTATGTCAAATAGGCCAAGACTTCCTGAGCTAGGTCTCTAGAATTACGCACCGTCGATGAGTATGTACCTAAGTGGAGTAACTTACCACCGCCCACCTAGTAGATATAGAGAACCGGCACGACTTACTCTCTGTGTATCTAGAAACTTTAATGCCACTTTTCGCAGAGTGACTGGGGTAGATATAGAACAAAGTTCATCAGCGGTATACTGGATCCCAATCAACAGTCGCTTTTGAACTGTCCAACTGAGTAGGGCGGATTAAGAACAATATGGAAAGGTGGGAACACTCACTGTTGCCTCTTCGTTTTCTCTGCCTGCACTTCGGATGAAGTAAAGAATGTTCACTTTTAACTCGTTTCTCAGCTACTTGGGTATGAGCCACACTAATACACGATTTGCGGAACCAAAGTAGGTGGGGCGGAGATCGAATACGAGATCTAACGGAGTGTTGAACACCCGCACCATTAGACTACGGCTCAACAAGTAGAGGACGAGTTTTACGGAAAGCTTCCTGAACTCCTACAAAAGGCCAAACGCTTAGACTTAGCAATCATAGTACGAGAATTTAACGACCTAATAGGCAATTTACACCATAAGTAGGTCTTAGTGTCCCAGCCCAACGAACATACAACGGCGACCATCTATTGCAACTACGACCAGCGAACCGCTTATGCTGATCAAGTATCAACTTTAAGCATAAAGAGACATCTACCATGGTGACCACAACCTAGTCGACCATGGAAACACGTAGACCATATCGTTATCAGCCATCGTTGGAGAGGGCATATGTTCAGACTTTGGTCATCCTCTATTACGAGCACACATTTGTTTGCTCGTTACTGAACACAGAAAAAGTACAGCAAGAAAACTTCCTAGAGTTCAACCCAACAACGAAACCTGCAAGAATATCCTTCAGGAACAAATAAAGGAAACATTAATCAATCGTCATATTGATGTTTATCCTGAGATGGGTTGGTATGATATCCAGACGATTTTGAAAATATTAGTGGTATGTATGAGTAAATATGACCAAAAGGTAAAGAAGAATCACATCTTAAGTGTCTACCGAACTAATGGGTGCTAGAAAACTCATCACATGAAGCTCGGAGAACGAGGAGTGAAGGCAACTTAGAAGTAAACTGACAAGTCTATACAATGATCGTGAGTAGAGATTGAAAGCGAAAGAAAATGATGCAGGAAAGGCGTGGGTGATATGTGACTACAAACAACTACTTGAACTTATCAAGGAAATAGCCGTTAAAAACCAGTGTTAGTGAGACCTTCTGGGACAGATGACGCAATGATCCGCTCTCAACCTAGTAGACTGAAACAATTAGGATAGCACTTTGAAGAACAATCCAACTTCCTTCAGCTATTGTTCAGTTCCCTACTTTTACAAGACAACTTAAACGGAATGTCAAGATGAGCCCTCCGACTTTTAATGAGATGGATTGTCATAGACTATTCACTGTGAAGGAGAACAGCAAGTCCAAATGGATCAACCCGAAGGATATGTAAGAATAGTAGTTTGGTTTCAGTTGTTGGATTCACTGAGATACTAGCTAGTATCTGGTAATTGGACGTAATCTGATCCGGTTGGTCTCGATAGCTAATCGTTCAAGTTGACAAACAAAAGTACTACCGTGATGACCACAGAGGGGTTAGTTTGACTTACAGTGTCTAAAATATTAGTCACAATCATTATCCAACACTTTATTAGAGCTCATGAAGAGCGAACTTAGGAAAACTGGCTGGTTTTAAACACAGGGGCCAATGTATGGACCAGTTAATCAGGTCTTGTAAAATTCTTGAACATATACACACCCAATGACTCTCAACAACAGCTGTATTTGTGGATCCTCTTTGTAGATCGAAAGGTCTTATGAAAGCTTTTTATTTAAAAACCTACAAAAAAGTACATTTCTCTTGTACAAGTTCTGCTCGAACACTATTTGTCAAGTCAGAGCTTGCAGCGAACTGTCATCGGAATTGACAACTTCGAGTTCCGATCAGTATTGTCTGCTTTCCCGACCTTTATTTAATTTTGTCATAGACATTCTTTCAGAGGAAGTCAACTTTTTAACACGAGGTTTTCCTGATGACATATAGATGATACAGTTCTTATCGGTGAGGACACTAAAAAATGCAATTTCTGATTTCCTTAAGTAACAACAATAGCATGTTTGAGATATGCTAATTTAACTCCAAATGAAGAATGTTGCTTCATGACTAGTCTGTATCATCCCCAAGATGATCACACGGTGCAGAGCAGACAAATGTGTTGATTACTCCACTTTAGTTGGAAGTTTCATCAATCCTAGTGGGTTGGTGTCTGAAGAAATATCAGCACAGTCACAAACTCCAGCTGGCTTCAGTCACTTGCGGCACAGGCGAGATAAGTGTGCCAAAGGAATATTATACTACCCAGCGGTTCGCTCCATTATACTTGATGCTGGTGAAACATGCCCTTTGAGAATAGAGAATATTAGTAGATTTTCAGTAATCCAACATAGTTGATTTCAAATTGTTCGCGCATTTGAGAGTATAGAGTTGGTAATTATGGAGTTATACGCAGAGTACTAGGTAAGGGTGATTAATCGATTGGTGCAGTGGAACTTTGTTGACTGGAGAAGCTATGATGAGAACTACGTGTCCCGGTCCACCGACCATCATGAAGCTCAATCATGGATGGCGTAGTAGTTTGGAAGAAAGCTATGAAGTCAAACCAAGACAAAACACTGAAAGGGTGGAGAGCGCGTGATTATTGTGACCTATGATTAGACTTCGGATGATATGGCTTAAAATCGCCCACATTGGTACAGGTAAATTAGCTCCTTAGCTTTCCTTAATTCCTCAGTCTATAAATTGCCTCGTGAATCTTTTCTGTTACACGAACCCATACTTTTTAGACGACATATTACTCTGAGAATTTTATCTCGCTGTTAATGAGGTGTGGCAACTTGACCTGTGTATTATATATACATCAAGCCCTGTCTCTCAGACGTTAGTGAACAAGCATCTACCGGTTGTATATCAGTAACTAGGCTTGAAAATTTCACACATGCTGGTTCTGTCCCGTACTAATCACGAAAGAACATTTACAAGCGTACAACGGCAGCTTTGTATTCAAGGTGGCCACAGTTCAGCTGCATTTTTGTTAAACAGTTAAAAATTATTTGTATTTCCGAATTTCGCGTATTAAGAAATTTTGTGATTCTGCAACCACCTAACCATCCTGAAAAAATAGTATAAGTTTGGTGGAATGATTTATGCGCTTCGCTGCTAAAATCCCATTAAGCTAATGCTTTTTTACGTTATTCAGCTGCTAATAAAGCATACATTTGGAACTTGTATTGCATGCACAACGGGTGAAGAATGAGAACAGCATTATTAGTGGTTTTAATAACAATGTATCGGCACAAAACTTGTAGGACGATAACCAATAAACAAAGCAGACTAATACGATGCTTTGACAGAAAAACTTACGTACCTGATACGAAGACATACGAACGCCTTAAGTAAACTCAGGCAAATTAAGCATCACAGGTAACTCCATAATTGAGTGACCTCATGGTTGAATATAGAAACGGCTATCAACACCTTTTTACGGCTGCTACGCCAGGAATAGACCAGGAATAAAAGTTTCTATACGATGTTGTCGAACTGAAATGAACGTTTTCAACCTCATGGTACTATAAGCACAAGAAAAACCCGGATTATGAATAATAAACCACATAGTCCAAGTGGGGTAACTCCTGATGAAGGAAATTGAAGCTACAGAAAAAGTTTAGCATGTGAATGGCGATATCCACCCTCCGTTTGCAAACGAGTGAGTTCAAGTAAAGTATCCGACATGCAGTCAATAAACATCAGATTCTCGGTAGACACGTTTCAATAAGTCTCGTCAATCCAAGAGGAGTCGCCATGACTAATGCTCTCCTATTCATTCCAAAAGACTGTGATTTTTAAACAAACCCTGCATTGCGACAGACTCCACGAAGTAAACCCATAATGGAAGCATACAAAGAATTAGTCACCCACCCAAATGAAAAGATAACTATTTTTTTGATTAACTATTCCCTAGTCGATAACAAAAACAGCTCATTACAACTTATTTTTGTGACAACCAAATAATCCTGATTAGTCTTGGACCCGCTTAAATTTTAAGCTACAAACAACAGCACTAAGCTTCATTAACAAAATAAAAGCCTGTGATTATCCGTAAAAGATGTGTTTGTAAAGCCTCATAATATACAAGTCTAAGAGTAACCATACTGTTTAAGGATTGCTTGATATGGTGCAATCGCTTCTTTAGCTCGTCCTCTGACAACCTCGCTCGGTTTCTTCAGAAGCTTCTTCCTTTTATACCAGACAGCTGCCTTGGCTTTCCGACGATTCTCCATCTTTTCGATTACATTCTTATACTTCCACCCGACATCGTTAGACAAACGAGATAATACAGAAAACTATGGAAAAGTAAAATGCAATTAGACAACCAACCTTTCGTCCTGGCTTCAACCGGATTGCTCGTAAAGCTGAAGGAACAACCATGCGCTTCTTCTTGTCGTATGGAGGAGGTATGCCTTCAAAAACTTTGAGTCTGTCAAGAGCCTGTTTTCCACGGTATAACTTGTGAGGAAGCATACCACGGACAGTACGCCAGAATATTTTTGCGGGTGCTCTGAAGTGATATGGACCTCTCGATGGGTTGGTGTTCATCCGCTTCCTGAGGAAGTCAAGATATTTTACTACGAAGTAAACTTAACAGCGGTGACCTACATTTGTTTCGATAAAACGATCCTGATATATTGATGCCTTCACACCGTACTACGACTACTTTCTGACCATTGAGCAGTGTTTTGGCCACAACGGAGGCCAAACGACCAAGAAGATGGCCTTGTGCATCTATAACTATGGGCTAATATTATGGATAATTTAAATTCAGTCCCCATTACCTTCTTTTGGAAACTCATGCCTACACGAGTGATATCACAAAATGCGCACTAATAAAGAGTGAGAATTAAACAAAATGGGAACTTCAATTTACAATCAACGGTACTTCGAAATAATTATAGATGAATAGATTAGTGTTCACCCTACTAAAAAAAGCATTTTTCAAGGTGATGCTAAAGATTGATCATGCTGAAAATTTCACACAGTGTCCATAGTGTACATAAAAAGTTTTTAGCACTCACATCTGTATGACAAATGTTAGTGAGTCCCTTTCCTTTATAAGGGGATAGATTATGTCAAAATTTGGAGATTAATGGAACGAAATAATAGGGCTTGATGACTGTATAAATGGCTAGTGAGATCTCTAATGACAAATTCACGTCATTCTACAGAATTTCGACTTGTCACTCTATGGAATTCAGTTTGGAAAGGACAGGAGGCTGGGCTTGTGTTAGTTCTGGCAGTGGTTGTCATATAATGAAGGCCTGGGTCAATATGAGTTCTGGCAAGGGGATTCATATCTTGCATCAGAGTACTATAGATAACCGCACCAACTACTTTCTTTTCGGAGAAATTTACAGAAAGCTTGGTCCTCGGGTTTTTCCAATCCACTGTAGGTGAACTCAGGTCTCCTAAGCTTAAACTTCGATCAATTGATGACCAATTGTTGAAACTGTGTAGCAAGGCCTCACCCGCCTCACAGTAGAGTGAATACTTGATCTCTATCATTTTGACATGTGCTTAGTTGTTTGAGGCCAACTCTTAACCAATCAACTCAAGCTGTTAAAAACCCAGTTTCTGTGACAGCAGTTGCATCCAGCTTGTCAGTGTCTATGTTCAGATCTATCTTCGATAACCCACTGAGTATTCTTCAATCATCTGTATAGAAGATCCGAAGACCACTTAACGGGCCCGTGTTACCTCCCGAAGTTCCGGAATTTAAGGAAAAGGGACATAATATTTTGGATATTCACAGGGAGCCACGATAGAGTTAATGATGTGAATAGTTTTAACCGGGCTGAAATAAAACAATTTGCAAACCAAGGCCAAAACCACTTGCTCTTGACCTACAGTTCGCGAAAAAAGACTAGACGATCCGAGCCCTGGGCCTCAAAATCTTCAGTAGTTCCCGTCTACACTATCCTTTTAGTCTTTCTCAGATAAGAGTACGGTAAGTTTATGTTTCCAAGTATGTGTTCTCATGAACAGGATTGGGAGTTTAATGTTACTGTGGATAATCGACCGCATCAATCAGATGTTTATACTCCCGGTTACCCTTAGGTTTTCAACTGTTGACGTGATCAGTACGTGTGGGAAAATATTCAGCGTGATAAACTTAGGGGTATGTGATCCTTTGTTAGTTGAAGCATCGTAACTATGGTATTTTTAAACTTTGTCAACCTTTAATCGATATGTCTCTGTTAACAAACCAGTTAGATTGTGTAGTCCAGTATCGGAGGGCGAGTTACTTCATAATGTGGCCGTAACTCTTGTTTTAAAGAAAGATGTGGGACCTAATGAAGTCTAAAACCAAAAAATCATTGTTTTTTCAACATGCATAACAAATTATTCCTTGATTACGTTGCTAGTCCATATTTATTTAGGTTGTTTACATGTCATATTTGCTTGAGCTTGATATTTGAACAAGTTTATTCCACTGAAGCATGTAAATGCTATTAAAGCTTGTTAACGAACCACCAAAGCTAGTTAATATAAATGACCAGTTATTGGTACCGATTGAGTTAGTATGTTATGAATACTAATCAGCATAAAATTATGATAATATATGTGAGCATTAATCAGAGGACCAATAGAATTCTGAGACATTAAAAAGAAGAATATATTTGTAAAATCTCAGCGAATGAATTTTAAGTTAATCCAACGTTTCGCCTGGCAATCTGGTCCAAGCTTTTTCAAGGAAAATATAATCAAACAACAAAATTATCGAATATAAATAGGTACATGGTTCTTCGGTTTACTGTATACTGAATAAGTCATCCAATCAACGTGAAGGATTTTTTATAAATAGGTGTTTGCATTAATGTGTAAGAGACATGTTTATATGAAAATAATATGAAAAATAATAAAGGTCAACCAAATAAAAGTTCATTTGAAAATAATCAAGGGGAGAGAAAGAATAAGAAATTGTGTTATTCTAGGCCATAGAATGACTTAGGGATTACAAGGTAAATTCAAGGTTATGACAAATTGTTTCTGTACACATAAGGACAAGGTATGTGTTATGGAACCAAAAACGTGTTAAGACAACAGAATGTGTTTGTACGCAAGTGATGTGAGAAGAAATTTCATTCAACTAAATATTGACTTCGGTCTGTGTATATTAAGAAAACATATCATTTTTATATATGAAATGAATCAAAAATGCCACAGCCTGCATTCGATGAAGATAAATGAGATAAGTAAACAAAATAAAAGAGGAATGGATATGTAATTGAAGGCGTTAAATATGGAATATCTATTTCCTCGATTGTCTCTTGTTAGGGCCCAATGCCACCTCAGACTCACCGAGCTGAAGGTGCTCGATCATGCATCCGCACTAGATCACGAGTGGGAACGCCGTGCTCAGTATCCCCTGCAATCGCTAGCCAGATCAGATCAGTCGATCCACGGCATATTGATAGCCTATCAAATATATCTCCGAACCTCCTCGCTTCTGTCTTTTGATTTCACTTGGCGGATATGATTCATATTAGACGTTACTGGTTAAAGCGTTGTCAAACTCTAAATACATTTGGCATCTTCAATTCTGTCAAATCTGTTGGTTTCTTATGATTATTTGAGGCTGCAATTAAACGCAACTCAATCTCGTAAATGTGCCCTTCAGCTTAGCAACCAATCAGAATGAGGCGGGAATTATTACATCCGCCATCTTCGTAGGCAATGGCGGTCGGCTTTATTCGTTCTGTGCTTCTTTCAGCTATTTATTTTGTGTAGCTGTGTAATTTAATGTCTCAATGTGCTAAAATGCCGCAGTCAGTGTAATGTTCTATATGTTGGTGTGAAGTTTATTTCGAATCAGCGATGTTTTCTGGGTTTTTGTTGCTTCTACTCAAGTCAGTGTATTTCTTCAGGCAATCTGGCTAGTCTTGTGTTATAAAATGGCGGTCGGCTTTCTTCGTTCTGTGTTTTTTCCGCTATTTCTTTTGTGTAGCTACAGAATTTAATGTTTCAGTGTGATAAAATCCGAAAGTTAGTGTAATACTCTAAACATTCGAGCAAAATTTTTCCTCATTTCGCTTTGTTTCCTGGGTTTTACCTGCTGCTACTGAAGTCACTGTATTTATTCAGCTAAGCTGGCTAGTACTAACATAAGACCTTACGTTTTTAAACGACAATCGGTTATGTTTTACCTTGTTTTCTAGATATCCAAAGCCAAAGTTCGTTTTTCAGTCTTCAGTCTTCAGTAATAAGGATAGGAGGTCTGTCGACCTATATTAATCCTTGCAGTTTGTAATACTATGGAGGTCCAATCTCGTTTTGAATATATTAACAGATGGTGCTGATATTACGTGTTCCGGTAGAGAATTCCAGTAATTCACTACTCGGTGCGAGAAGCGGAATTCCAAACGTAAACGGTTTGATCTCGGTTTTTGAACTTTCTTCGAATGTCCTCTCAAATGATCAGTCCTAGACGGAAGCAAAAGATAAGACATGTTAATACCAAGGTCATCGTTCAGTATACGATAGGCCAATATTAGATCACCCCTTATTCTACGGTAAGATAACGGAAATAAGTTAAGGTGTCTCAGTCTGTCTTCATAAGATAGGCCAGATAGACCTTGTACCATCTTAGTAGCTCGTCGTTGGACTCTTTCTAGCATATCTGCTTCATATTTGAAACAAGGACACGCTGCTTGAATCCCGTATTCTAAATGTGGTCGCACATAAATCGGGTATAGTAATCTAAACATTTCATCATCTAAATACTGGAAAGACCTACGAATTGACCATAATACCCTATAGCCTTTTGCAGCAGCAGCCTTACAGTGACTAGTCGTTTTGAGATCATTGCTTAATATGACTCCTAAATCTTTATAGTTTCTTACTTTGGGTAGCACGAATCCACGTAGTGTATAGTCATACGATTCATCAGAGTTATTTAACTGCATCACTACACTCTTATTAGGATTTACTTCTAGTGACCACCTATCTAACCATGCCACCAATGAGCTAAGATCGTCCTGTAATACTATCCTATCCGACATGCTATGTATGGGTCTCCAAATCTTTATGTCATCAGCGAAGAGTAGAACGGATGATTTTGCTACAGTTGGCAATTCATTTACATAAAGTAAAAAGAGAAGAGGACCCAGGATTGTACCTTGGGGAACCCCACTTTTTACAGGTACCCACGAGGAGAGAGCCCCATTAACCCTTACCCTTTGTCTCCTGTCATGGAGAAAGTTACTTATCCAATCGACGACTGTATAATGGATTCCAAAACGTTTCAGTTTGAATTTAAGACCAGAGTGGGAAACCTTATCAAAGGCTTTACTTAGATCTATGAAAATCACATCCACAGGAGCATTCCGATCCTTTGCCGCAGCCCAATCTTCTCGTGCAATGAGAAGATTTGTCAAGCAAGATAGGCCTTTCCGAAAACCATGTTGTTCCCTGGAGAAAAGATTTTGCCCTTCAACATAGTTTATAACAGCTATCCGAATGATTTTCTCCATCAGTTTTACAACTGCACTAGTTAAGCTAACGGGTCTATAGTTACTAACTAAATCCCTACCCCCAGCCTTATACACCGGACTTATTATGGCGTCTTTCCAGTCTCTAGGAAGTCTGGACTGTCTCAGAGACATGTCGAATAGTATCGCTAATGGTTCAGCAATTTCATCTGATATGGCTTTCATAATCCTAGGATGAATATCGTCAGGACCACTGGACTTATCAGGTTTGAGATGCTGGAGTAGCCTTAAAACAGTATCTTTCTCAATGACTACAGGATCCATCAGCGAGCCGTCACGGTCGCGACGAATCATTGGTCGTTCCTCATTACCGATAGAAAACACTTTACTAAAGTATTCCGATAAAGCTTCAGCTTT